AATCTATTTACCATTCTATAGCGATATCTGGATAGTTTTAGTTTCTTTCACGTTCCCGAGAAGAATAAAATTGCTGTTATTTTCGAACTAAAGTAAGTATATGCAAAATTTGCAGGGCGTGAAGGTATAGCCCTGCCCTGCCCTGTACAGGGTGGATCAATTTTTTAAAAATTCGCCCTGTGTCCTGCCCTGTGCAGGGCAGGGCAGGGCGCAGGGCAGGGCTGCCCTGCCCTGTGGACACCTCTGCTACTATCTAACTAAAGTCTTGTCCTGGCTCAAGTTCTTTGGTCGGTAAACCTGCAAGTAAATTTCGAGCATCTTCTTCACTAAATGATAATATCGATTGAACTGAATCAAGTTTATTTAAATACGGAGATTTGGTTTCTGATTGAGTATCTGAACCATAATTCATCGACGAACGGTAACGTGATGTAAACAGTTCTTTTGATTTAATTTGTTTCATAAGAAAACCACCTAGAAATCATCGAAATTCAATTAGTCAAAAAAAACAATCTCGTTTTCTTTCTCGAACTAACCTATAGTAATTCCACCGAATGGCAACTGTCCAGCACCTCCATTACGACCAATCGATATCAAAATAGCTGCATTTGGATTAACTTTATATTCTTTTGGATTAGATTTTTTCTTGTGGAGCGATGCAATTAATTTTCCCAGATACGTTCCTTGTTCGGCTGCTAAATATGCAAGTTTGGTTTCTTTGTCGCTAATATCACCGACGGCAAAAATATTTTCAAAACCATCAACTTGTAAATAATTATTAACAATAAGTCGACCGGTTTGAGCATTTAATTTTGATTTCAACGAACCATTTAATAGACTTCTATTATTAACATGTGCACCTGTACATACAAATGTTAGATCAGCTGTTACACTTGTTTTACTTGTTTGTGTAACATAAGTATTTTTTCCTTCAATATAATTCGTATGTTGATTACTTGGTAATTGTATTCGATCATTTAAGATTATTTTAACATTAAGTATTTCAAGTTGATCTTGTATACTACTATAAAGCTTTTGTTTAAATACGTTTGGATATAATAATGTTGGTTGACTATGTACAAGAGTAATCTCTTTGCCAGGAAAATCAGTGGCGATTTCACCCGCTAGTTCAATGCCAACTGGACCACCACCGATAATTAGTATCTTTTGAGATGCGTTGACTTTTTCTCGAATAGTATTATAAATACTGATTGCGTTTGATATTTCAGTTTCAGCTACTTTACCAGGAAAAGCATAAGATGAACCGGTAGCTATAACTAAATAATCGAAATGAATTGGCTCGTTGCGTCCATGAACTTGAACACCATCGTGCGAGATTGATGTTACTTCAGCTTTTACAACACAACCTAAAATTTCGATGATATACAAACATCGATTTTCATTATAAGAAAAACAAAATCCTATCTGTCCCTATTCACCCCAATTTTTTTCTATCTTTCAAATTACAAAGAGACTATGTTCTCGTAAACATTATGAATTAAAATATATGTACCAACCATTCGTAAGCAATCGGTCGTATGGAATAAGTATTTTTTGAGAAAAGTTTTCTTCTACTGTAGCACGTAATGTGGCAACATTGTGAAGAAAATAAGACTTTCGATCAATTAGTACGACGAAAAATAGACCAGTTTCATCCAAGGATTTGGCACATTGAATGCCAGCATAACCACCACCAACGATAAGTACAACTGGCTTTTTTTCATTGTTTTCTTGAGATCCGGTAACACCCATTTTTTAGCTTTTTTTCAGCTTATTGTTGCTTTCTGTGTTTATATCTAAAAATATATAGGGGTAGATTTTTTTGCTGCGTCATGATGGCTGAAACATTTTTTTCAGCGTTCTGCAAGTGCGTTAGTGTGCTTTGCGGACGTCGACTACACGAGCAAGATTTTGTTGTTACATTGAAAAACTACGGTGTATTTTACTAGTGGTTATTTGAGAAAGAATCAAGGCAAATAAATATATGTATATTTAACAAATTGTTTCTAAATGAAGTCTGTCATTGACTTACAGGGACGATTGGTTTTGCTATTGGTGGAAGTAATAGTAGTTGATGCAAAAATATGTCGCTTTGAAAGATAACATTGAGTTATTGTTTTATAATATTGGTAAAAACTCATTCAAATCAGTCTAAAAATATCTATGATAAAGTCATTCGAGCTTAGTTTACATTTACTGGAACTTTTAAAAACATGAGACTTTCTGATCAGAATGATATTACACTACGTAAATTATATTTATGGTGACAGGATCTCTGAAAATAGTATGCAATGAAATACTATACGCCTGTCAGCATATTTTGTTCATAGTCCAAAAGGTTTCTTACTTTTTCTAAAGCTGTTTTGAAGAAAAACATACTGATGAAGTCATGCCAATTGTATAAGAATGCATCATTAATTCCTACAATTATAAGCATTAGATAATATCACTCAATATCTTATCGGGATTATGTGAGCATTACGTCAAATATTGACATCCTTCCATTTCAAAAAAACTATTATCAAACAGTATCTTTTATCATTTGCTTTAACTTCATTAATTTGAGAAAAAATTCATAAGATTCAAAGAAATTTTGTTTTTCTTCTACTAATCTATTATCTTCAAATTCAATTTAATGTCATTTTGTATCAAATCTCGTCTGATCTGATAAATCGATATTTATCTTTAATGAATATTATGAATTTTAAGATAAGCATATTATAAAATTTTACTTGATCTGTGTTTGTAATATTTAGTCGACAACTAGCGACAACTACAAACAAATTATCTTTCTCAATAAACTATAAGAATGCCATAACGACAAATAGCTTCGAATGATATTTACTTTATACACAGAATAGTAATCCATCCATCAGTTCATAATTTATCAATCAGTCAAACACTCTTATCCAATCTTTATTTTGTTATTTATCATACACAGCTCTTGCTTTCTTTTCTTTTGGAGTGTGTGGTAAATGAATGAATGAATATAAATCTAGCCAAGGATATTGTCATGTGTCCTGCTTCTTTTGCAATCATTCTGACTAATGAAATACGTCATTTTCGTCACATGAATTTATTTATAATACTCATTAAAAATCTATTGAATTCTCTATCTAAAACTTGTAGATATAATGGCAAACAATGCTGAAAATGTTCCTCGCTGGTTGTGGTTAGCTTTCGTAGCTGGTATCATAGGAGCATTGCTCCTTGTCATTCTTTTGCCTTTTTCATTTTCTTATCTTGATTATTATCATTATGGTTTTCTTCGTCGACATACCACAGGCCGTGTTAATCTTGAGCGAGTTTATGAAGGTGGCCGATATTTAGTTGGACCAGATTATCAGTAACTAGAATGTTATTTTAGTCACTTTTATTTTAATTATTTTTCTAATATTTTAGTTTTAAAAAATTCAAAGCTACAGCCCATCATGTCAATTTTAATCGTATATCTGTTTTCACAACTGATAATTTAGAAGTGCATTTGGTAAATTTTTAGAACGAAAAGAAAATATATAGCATTTACATAACGAAATGTGCCAGAATAAATATCGCTCGAATTACCTTTTTCAAGATTACTGGCAACGGATATCGTCAAACTTTAATAAAATATTCCCGATCTCATGTTCGCTATAAAAAATATTTTTCAATATGATGAATTACTAATTTCTTTGTAAATCAAAAAAGAGCCATATTGACCCATTTTTCTAGCAAGTGTAAAAATGTAAAATTTACGAGAACTGTCAACGCTTTTCAAGTGGTGCACATTTGCTATTTATGTAATTTGTATATCAAAACATTATTATTCACCTAGTATTGAATAGGGCAGAACTTGAGAATATTTTATTGATGTTTGACGATAAGCTTTAAACACAATAGCGACGAAATGATAAGGACGAAGAAAAAACCACTACAGTTCTAATGCTAACAAGATTTTTTGACCATGAATAATCCTTAAGATTTGTAGAATATTCTACTATTTTCGATTTGTTTAGACAATTACATTTCAATTTTTCCTAATTCGAGATGATTTGCCATTACTTCATGCAGCTTACGATATCTATTATGAACCTATTATTGTATCGAATGCAAAAGAAGCTATAATATCAACATGTTCTCGTTTTGATACTGATGAGTTTATAAATGATCGAGAAAAAATTTGGCGAGAAATTTACTATGGCGTTAAACGTCAATTAGGTAACTAGAATCGAAGATTTTCTTTCTGCTAAAAAATATAAATTCTCTATTTAGGTGGCTCATGTTGTATTCCAAATTGTAAACGTAATTGTCCGAAATGTTCAATACATGAACGGTGTGTTGTTGGATGTAGATCACGTGAAGAAGGTTGCAAAAAAGAAGAGAAGGGCTTCTTTGCTGAAGTGCGATATCTTCAATTACATGGTAAATATCAATTTATTGTTCTAACAAAAGATTTTTTCTTATTTAACAATGAAATCTAGATATTGATGTTCCCGATCGTGTTATGGAACGACGTTTACTTGGTTTGGTTCGTGATTTAGAAAAAGAACGAGAAGAATATATCAATCAAGAAGCTCTTGTGAAAAAACAAACAGATATTTTAGTGAATCAATTTCGTAATAATGCAACACAATCTGTTGCTATATCTGATGCTCAAGCTCAATTGAAACGTGAACGAGCTAAAGCTGATGCACTTAAACGCGTTGAAATATCTCGTATTGACGGTTTAGCATCGATGTGCTCAACATTAGGTATTACACAAGCTAAACATATCAATTCACTTCAATATTTACGCGCATTGAAAGACTCGTCTGATAATGTGAAGTACTCCATCGATTTTTCACATGCTATAGCTCAGCAGCAACCAAAATTACCTGCTAGTTCAACATAAAACCAACGAAATAGTTCTGTGATGATCGCGAACAATTTCAGATGATCTCAACTTATTTACTTGTATTGTTTAGAATAAAATTATGTATAATGAATTTTCGAATTCAATCGTATTTCTTTGTTCAATTGATAAATTATTAACAACAGATTTACTCTTCTTTTTTTCTACTAATCATTTCTATTTATTCATTGATTTTTTTATTATTCTTTCTTTTTCGCGCGTGTCCAATTTTACTATTTTGCACTGTATTCATTAAAGTAACAATTTAGAGAAAACAAATTAAGGTCTTATCATCATACTCAGTAATTAAGCAATCAGTTGTAAAAAAAAACATTGTTTTTTGGGTGTGGAACTTAGGTGGCCATCGACATAGTTCATTCATCATAGAAAAAAATGTTGCTTGACATTATGAAGATTGTATCTATTAGTTTAGTGTAAATTCATATTAAATGAAACTACTTTAATATGATTAAATACAAACAAGTTATCGCCTTTCAAATTGACTCTGGAATGCAATTCGTTTTTGAAACATAGGATATTTTGTCGTTTCTACCATTTCGTTTCGTGAATAAATTTAAAACTATTATCTCTTTCATGAAAGCGCGTGATTTAATGTTTGAATTCCACCAGCAACGATCGTTTTTTTGGCAGTCGAATAAGAAAAGGATGCCTTCAATTTTTTACAACTCAGTTGAAACTATATTAATTTTCTATTTTTTCATTTAACGAGGTTTTTTCAGTAAACAAGGTACAGGCATTTTTGTCTGTGTTGGTCATGTCCTATCGTTACATTAAATTTTTCTCCACAAAACTCACAGATTGGATTAGAATGTATAACTTTGAGGTGCTTCTAAAATAATAATTCATCAAATGTGTTTACATTGTAATTAAATTAAATATTATAAAATACGTTCTATTTTTTATACTTCGTTATCCTTAAATATATCATTCTCGAAGATACAATCGGATATTATCTTTAAAAGAAAACGAATTACTTTTGAATATAAAATAATGTGATACCACTGGGTTTGTTCAAGGCATTCTGTACATGTGATTATATATCTTGATGAAAAATATCTAATATTCAAAGAAGATCAAAAAGTATTACATTGACGATGCTCACATGAACCTTGACATAGTTGTCGAAAAATAAGATTACATATATATCCGTCACCCGCACCCACATTCAAAGTATCCCGGGTACCCTCCCCGCACCCCTTCAAGGTACCCCTCATTGCACTTGGGTGTTCATTTATATTCGAATTCGAACTAGGCATCTCATATCAATTTTAAACTTACTGAACCTGATTACGAATCCATACTTTTCTCACTCGACTACACAGGATAAAAGATGTTTTACTTGTTATTATAATACAGATTATCTGTTTGTATTTAAAATCAACTTTGAAACAAACTTCGGTGAAAGATCCCTTTATTGTATTGTCTCTGTTTCACAGAAAATTGTTTTTCCATAATATCGCTCTACTCAATGCCACCGTGAATTTAATAGAAAACTTTTCGATTTCTTCACTTTATTTCGAGCAGAAAAAAAGAACAAATATTCATCGATGAAATTTAAAGTAAAATTCGATTTGGCGTTGTACCATTTGATTCTTCACGACTTTTTAATACTACATTAATAAAAAAAACATTTATTAATGAAGACTCCTCTTCAATATTTTACATTTCATCAAAGCAAGTACATGTTCGGAAAAAAATGCACAAGCAGCTGCACATGATGTCAATACACCAGCAATAAGTAGAATACTAAAAACAATTGAAATTAACTTTGAAAAAATGAATTATCTAATTTGTTTTTCTTTTACCATGTTTGACTATCTCCTCGACAAACACCTGGTGCAAAAGCTTTCGATGCATTCACTTGGCTCCTACTCTCACATAGCACATAACCTAAAACAGAATGGACGATTTTTCAATTTTCTACTCAAAGTCTTCAATCAACCCCAAATATTAAAACCAAATGCAATTAAATATAAAACAACAATGGTTCCATGTACAATAAGATCATGTTTCTTCGATTTATTTATATTCGTGGTAAAATCAGCCCATATACGTTCAATGCAGTAGACTAAAACTGTCCATGAAAGAACAAAAAAGTATGCAGCTGTATGCGGACCAGCTCCAACTAGAAAACTCAATGAAGTAGATTAATTTATTCTAAACCTGTGACATACACGGTGGAGTAAAAATATACCATTGAATAACATGGCTACCATCGCTGACAGAATGTTCACAAGTTCCCATAACATGTTGAAGTATAACACATAACAGTGAAAAAAAAAGATCAGCTAATGCAATTCGACCGTCATTAGTAATGAAATATTTTTTTATTTGTTCAGTCCACTTTGTTATTTTACTCATATGATTTGGTAATGATTGAATAGGTTTATCTGTAATATTTCGCTTATCATTGGTGGATGTTAAATTTTGATTATCGACATTCATTGATTGTTTACTAGACATATTTGTTGAGATAGTTCGATTCAATGATTAGAACTAATTATCATGATGAAATTTGAATTATACTGTAAGTTAGAAACGAGAGAATAGCAGCAAAACAGAAATTTAGAAAAAAATGTTGTCATAGAAATTTATTTCGTTTTTTTTTCAATTCGATGAAAGTATAAACGGAAATATATATGTCATAGAGCGGAAGATTGCTGCTAAGATTCTTTATTAAATTGCCTATGAAAAAATGAAATATTATAATTGTTTTTACGACAGTCAATGAATTTCTATGATATTTTTGAGTAGGAAATCAGTAGATTGTTTTTTCTTCCTCTTCTTTTATTATTATTGTATTCTTTATCATTTGTTTATGAAATTTTTGTTCCCCATTAACTACAAAAGAAATATTCAATTCATCAAGTAACTTGTTATTCGTCTTTGACAAGCACTAAGCCATCCAATTACCGTTGGCTTTGTGTAATACATGAGTATCAGAAAATATAATAAAAGTACTTGTTTGTATATGTGTCTCTATAGTATGCGTTGTTCTTCCATTGGCACAACTGTTGACTCAGTGCACAAATGGAGGCCACCAAGACATTTTTATAATTGAATAATCAAATAAAAGAATATTTATATCACGTATTAGAGTAATAAGCCGCCAGAATGAAGACGTCAATTCAATATGTTAATTGAATAACAATTCTTGATGAAATGTGATCTTAGAAAAGTATAAAAATATAAATTTACATGTTTTCACCCGCTTCCATACACGCTACAGAATACATTAGAAACGACTGATCAACGTGCGTGATCGGCACCTTAACAATACTCCGCTACTGTCCTGCCAAAAGTTATAAATTAAACGTTAATATACTTCATGAGAATCAAGTGTAACGGCGATTGAGAGCTGCATCCAAAATGAACTATATTGAATAAAACAATTTGCGTTTGGAATTAAATCATATGTTAATCTCCGTAGTAATTGTGCTAAGTTGTTTTGTTCGTAATACTATTTCTAAATTAAAAATTTCTATTGCCAAAATTGGACTTCCAATAGGCTCTATGAATAACTATCATATATAAATCAAACTTAAATTATCTATTTTTCCTTTTTTTCTACTGAAAATCAATAGTAATGATTATAACACATAAAATCCGACATTTCATAGGCCCCATTAATCGTCCCCTTTGATACATCGGATTGCTCGAAACGATGTTACGTTAGCGCAAGAATTATCGGTCATTTACTCTAAGAAAACAATGAATAATTTGTATTGTTATGCAGGTGCACGTCGATGAATTAAATATGATCTCAAGAGTATTCGAAATAGAAAAATTATAGATTTGTATATAGAAACATATCTGACTGAGAAAGAAAATTTTCTTTCAAAGACATTTATTACGCATGTTTTGTTTCAGATTGCCAGATGTTGTTATCGCATCTACAATAATTTCTAAGAACAATGATTAATATTGATCCACGTTTGAGTTTTATTTTAAATACAATTAATGAGAAAACAACAATAATTTAATCATAGTTATTATTTTAGAGACTTTAAGAAGCATAAGTAGAATTATTTTTTGCACTTACAATAAGTTTATCAAGCGCTCACCAATTAGAAATGCATCAGAGTCTCAATTCAAAATAAATCAGATAATGCACTACTTTGAATATGAACATTACGAATTCGTGGAAACAACTTCAACAAAGATCAGTTAAAAATTCAAATTTTAGTCTCTCTATGAAAATGCAATGCATTCATTTTACATACATAATATCGCATAAAAATAAAAGTAGCTGGAGAGTTACGCAAACGTCTTCAATACGATTATCTCGTTTTCCTACCCACTTGTTGTCTGCAATTCTCTCTCAATCAATTCATCATCCTTATTCAATCTAATCTCTATTTATTAATCTACATATCTCTATGTCTTAAGTAATAAGTCGAGAATCTGATTGCATCCTACTTAAATAAATCAGATAATTAGATTTTCGTTGAGCATATCCAGTATATAACTGAAATCTAAGAGGAAGCATCGGGGCGAAATGAACTTTTGTTTAACTAGACGCTATTTTTTTTATTCATATCAAGAACAATGAAGTACATATAGGAACATTCAAAGTGGTAGAGCAAGATTATATGAACGGAAATATCATTTAAAGCAAGTTGACACATCAATTGATTGGGCATCTTTCGATTTGAATGCTTTTGTAGTAATTCATTCTACAAGAATATGATGTGGAATATGAGTTGTTTGACATTTGAAATCTTTGTTTAACGCGATTGTTTTCACTTAATTTAGTTAGTGCCGTAGACAGGGTTGCCACCTGATGAAGTCTAAAAAGCGGAAAACCGATCTTAAAAAGCGGAAAATAGCGGAAAGAAAAACAGAAAAAGCGGAAGCTTATATTGTTGCAGATTTGTAATGCTTCTGTGAATGTTAGGTTTTTTTTCATATTTATTGTATTTCTTTTCATTTCATCAAAGTTTCAAAACATAAAAAATGATGACTCGCGGTATTTGTAAACAATAAGAAGTGATTCAATAATATCAAAATATTATTCTGTACGTATGTTTGATATGCAACATGTTTTATACGAAAAAGCGGAACAGCGGAAATTTTCTGCAAAAAACGGAAGAGGTGGCAACCCTGACCGTTGACTTTAATCAAACGAGAAAAACAAACACCACCATTCGCCTACGCAGAAATTCAAGAAAATATGAAACAAAAAAGCGAGGAAGAGAAGAAGAAAAAAAGAAAAAGAAAAAGAAATAGATTTATCATATTATATGTGTTTTACGATGAGAAATAGCAAAGGCCTCTCAGCTTATCTAACCATTACTAACGTTTAAGACGATATCTAATAAAGGATCATGAAAGTAAATAGATTTAATTTTTTGTTTAAAAATTGACTTTGAAATTTTACTTTTATAGCTATGGTGCATGCTTGTCATATTCCTAATTTTTACCATTTCGACAGTAAGCATTAAGTCTAAGAAGGAAAAAAAAGAAATTAATCACATAGTTTTATCCTAGTCATTTGTGTATACTGAGGATTCTCATGCGACATTAAATCTACAAGATAATATTAATGAAAACCCATCAAATACTGACTTATCATCAACAACATTAATGGAACAAAAGCGATCTATTGTCAAACGTTCACAACGCAATGCGAATATTCTCTATCGATACTGCCGTCAATCTGGTCAAGCACGACAATTTTGTCTTAAATATGCTGTTCAAATGCTGTACGCAACCGGACATTGAATATATATATACCTAATATCCTAATTGTGCATCTGTCATCCAAAAATGCAGTGACTAGTTATTATAAATGCAAGAGATTAAATAAAATCTATCTCGTGTTGACATAATTTTGCTTGGTACGGGAATCAATAGCAATGGAATGAATCTATTATTAGAAGATGGAATGTCTTTTTCCAAAGTCCGAATAAAAGTGAAATCATTTAGCAATTATTGCTGGTAAACTGGCAGTTTTCATCCGTATAACATGCAATCAAATTAGCCTAGACAAAAAGCAATATTGTTTTTAGTAAACGTTAGTTACACCTGATCCAGCGTAGTAGAAAGATATTAAACAGACACATCGTGACAAAGAAAGCATTCACTTTTATTTTTCTATTCTTATATAACACGTAAAGAAAATTAATTTTTTTATATTTATGAATTATGACAGACGGAAAAAGTATGTTTTCAAGAATAGACATCAACATCAGAATTTATTAAAACGATAAAATTTTACTTAAGTCTAATCATTCTATGAAGTAATACAATAAATATAGTGATGTCTAAATCGCCAAAACTATCTGGCAATATCATATTTTGATGTGTTATTGTGCACAAACCATTTAATGTTAGTAGTAAAAATGTAAACGAAATAAGATTTGGATGCTGTAAATTACGAAAATGCATTCTGTAATAGAACTTCAACGATTTCAAATTCTGTTTCCTTTATGCTTTTAGGTTTACCTAAATAATTAAAATAAAACAATGATTGGAGACGGTAAATGCTTTTCAAAAATATCTTCTTATGCAAGTTTGTCTGATATATCATAAACAGAGCCTTTCAGTCGTTTATTACATTTGAAATTGACAAATTATACTTCAAATAATTAAGTTCCTCTCTGAAAATTCGATGTCACTATCGATCACGAATAGCAGCAATATAGATATTTTAAAATAAACAGCGCTGAATAGGAAGATACGATCATCGAATTTTGACGGTTGAATTCAAGCAGACTGATAACTCAGTAGCAGCAATAACAAGCGATCATCTTAAAAAGAAATTATTGAAAAGTATGCTTTGTTTCTAGAAAAGTTTTCGAAAAAGTCAATGTAATCGAATGGATACAGATTTCTTTATGCTCAACATTTTGGTATGAGAAAAAAATCGCCTAACTTTCGCTTTGAAGTACAGCTGTAAAATTATTCCTATGAACCATATCGATTAGATTTCACAACTAGAAGGTTGAAAAGTGTTAGCTTAACACCGACACTTTAGCGTCCTCTTCTAATTAATTATTGATGAGTTAACACTCTCTCGATGATACTCAACATTTTCAACTCATGTCTGAAGCTTGGGACACACCCGGCATGTTACATAAATGAGAATTGAGTCTAAAAAAATCCTCCACTACCAACAAATGTAATGAGTTGATTCCCATGTGGTCGTAACCGGCATACACGAACAATTTTATTTTTTGCTTCATTCATGATTGGAATTGTAATAAAAAATATCCTACCGAACTAGCCAACAAAGCAAATGTCACTTTAATACTTAATGATGATTTGCACGCAAATCAGAGCTACTTAGTACATGGCATGACTAGAACAATTCATTCTACAAAATAAACGACACTCGATATCTATTTCTATCACTGTGAGGACGCAGTACGCCCACTACGCACACGATGGCTTTCTCTATCTTGTTATGCCTTTTTTAATCTATTACTCCCTAATGTTCAATTCAACTAAGCGCCATATAAGTAAGCACTTCTAGAATCACATTGTCACGCTATCTGCAGAATATTGTTCACGAAGATATTATCAAAAACGGAAGTTTCATATTCGCTTGGAATATTACACCCTTTCCTGTCTTCAGCAGTTGTAATAAAAAAAACAAAAAAGATTTGAATGGAGCAGATGATTGAAATTTAAAATACACTCAGAGCAGCTATTGTCGAATCTATCGCTACGAGAACTCTATCAAGGCTTATGAGCGTGCTCCTATAGAACGATTTCGATTGAACATTTAAATATATCTATGATTTGTTATGTAGTTTTAGCTGTGAATGAATAGACTAGTGGCTAATATTTTTTCATTACATCATTTTAATCAAATCGAATTTTGAAAACGACAAATTCCTTTCATTTTCGTCATTTTGGAACAACATTTGTGAGTGGGCAGAATTTTAGATTGATGATCTGAAAAAATATGTAACAAGTTCGATCTCGATACTTTCATATCTAGTCTGAATGGATTTTCTATCATTTACGGTACTCTAGATCATCGCGTCACTTAATGAGAACTTTTGTACGTACTCAAGTTAGAAAGAAACAAAAAAAACTCGCCACGGACTACATGAATGCTGTGCTTCGCACCACATTAATTATTCTACAGAATATCAAAACAATGAGGTAGCTCATCGAGAGGCAATTATCACTTTTGCGCTAAAACGATATTTAAAGTGCTCATTTATCTATTTTACTTAGGGCATACCAAAAGTAAAGTTTTTTGAGGATAAAACTGTTCAAGATAGAGCTAATCAAGTTTTTATTTCATCAAATGTTTGAAGTAGCCCCCATGGTTACACACACATAATTTCATCCGTTCAATCCATTTATCAAAAGGTTTTTGTACTCATCTTCGTTAATCGAAAACATGACTTTGGTTACGGCACGATGCAATGATACTGAGCTTCTTGGATCTGTTAGACTTTGTTTGATCAAGTCGAATAACCAAAAAATCGCACGGTGTGAGGTCCGGAGAATTCGGTGGTTGTAACATTTTCATGATGCCTTGTGATTCGAGATAAGTAGAAACATCTTTATGAACATGGGGTCTCGCATTATCGTGATGAATTTTAATTGCATGTGTACCCGATGACGGTCTTTGCTTTTGGATTTCGTTGACAAGGGGTTGTAAACAATTATTGATGTAATAGTCATGATCAATAGTTTGCCCTCTTTCCACATGATGGATTAAAACAGGGACGGTGGTCTTGAAGAAGATACAAAATAACGTTTTTGGAGCGAAATGACTGCGTCGAACTACAGTTAGCGGAGTTTCTCCACTTGCTGCCCACGCAGCATTGGACGACTTTCGACCAAGTTGTTTGTGATAAACCATGACTCGTCGCCTGTCACTACGTCACATAACCACCAGGTTCCTTGATTAAATTTTGCTAAATTTTCTTGACATATTCGAACACGTTCAGTTCGTTGAGAATCGGTCAACTGGTTGGGTATCCAGCGATCGGTAATTTTTTTTCAGCTTGAGATAGTCAGAAACAATTCTCTGGGCGGTACCGTGACTGAGCCCAGTTTCGACTTGTATTTCATCAATAGTAAGATAAGGATCATTATCAATAAGGTGACGAACTTTTTCAATATTGTCGGATGTTGTCTCGGCTACAGGCCTACCAGGCAGTGGTTCATCTTCAACTTCTTCCCGACCTTCCCGACATAATTTTGACCATCTTACAACTGTATTGTAAGATGGAACTTGGTCCCTCAAAGCTGTACATAAATCGTCAAAGATGGATTTCGGCTGCATATTAAGTGCCGTACGCACTTTAATATAGGCACGAATCTGCTCTTTATTCATCTAAAAATGGGTGTACAGTTTCTATTGAATTTTTCTCATATAATAATAGCCACTGGTAAATGATGACTCATTGAAGAAATATAGAGCACTGTTTCCTCTACAAGTACATATAGGGAAAAGTTTGATTTGAGCGTTCCATAGGGTCCATATAATACCAACACCACTACTTTTGATATGCCCTAAGTATCTACACAAAGATTCATAATGCAATATTCGTTCTTAATTTAATCGCTTAATATTAGATACGTTCTACAAATATCACTCTTATATAATTTAGCTAAATAATTTTCACAAAAGAAAAAAAAATAGTGTTCATCCCTTGAAACTCCGATGGATGTAAACTAGTTAACTTTCTTGAGGACTTAAAAATAGATATCCAATCGTTGCTGAGGACCTCAAAATCGAAACAGAGAATCGCACGCTTTTTAATGTCTGCTTATGTTAACAAGACAAAACAAAAACAAAAGTAAAGAAAATAATGTAATTATATGTTCCTGCATAATTATTTAAGTTTGATTTTCTACAAAATAGAATTCAAATACACTTGAGAGAGAACGATATGGTATATGTGTGATTGATCACACAACTACTTTAGTGTAATCTTGTCCAATAATTCTTTTAATATAATTTTTTCATTCATTTATCTCGAGTCGTTTCCTTATATAGACTTATCATCACCATAAGAGAATTTCATTTCTATAGAATAATCTTCCAATACAGAAAACTTCTTTCTGGTGGGAAATTTTCTTGAAATTCTAAAAAACATGATCTATTCAAAGAATTTTACTCGAAACTTTCGAAATTATTGCATGTGCTACTGGATAAGCTATTCGAGAGAGAGAGAGAGAGAGATCTCCTTTATTCTTACTCTTTCTCTTGTAGTTAATATTCCTGCTAATACCACGTGGACACAGAACGGAGTGACTATTGCTGGAGGTCACGGGGAAGATGATGCCACTAATCAACTCAACTGGTCTCATGGTCTCTTTGTTATTGATCATGATCAAACAGTGGTTATTGTTGACAGGTCGAATCATCGCATCATTCAATGGAAGAACGGTGATACAACGAATGGACAAGTTGTTGCTGGTGGCAAAGGCGAAGGAAATGGATTGCATCAATTGGATCGACCAACTGGTGTATTAATTAATAAAGAGGCTGATAGTCTCATTATTTGTGACGCAGAGATATCTCTACGTCTCTGACGTCATAAAACATGAAGTAAGACGTTATCAATTGGGGGAAAAGAATGGCACTCTCGTAGCTGGTGGCAATGGCAAAGGTGCGGGCTTCAATCAACTCGACTACCCGACATACCTCTTTGTCGATCGACAACAGCATGCCTACGTGTCAGACAGCTGGACTTATCGTGTAATGAAATGGAACAAAGGTACAAAAGAAGGTATTGTGGTCGCTTGAGGACAAGGCAGAGGGAATGCTCTGACACAATCGAATTCTCTTAATGGACTCTTCGTTGATACGTTGGGTACACTCTATGTAGCAGACTCGCGGAATGACCGTGTAGTGCGTTGGACTCAAGGAGACAAGAAACAAGGCACTGTAATTGTGGGTGGAAATGTTCGAGGAGCAGATGCAAATCAGTTCAACTACCCCTTTGGTTTGTCTTTCGATCGACATGATAATCTCTATGTCGCCGATGTGGGTAATCATCGTGTTCAACGATTTTCTATCCAATAAGACTTGTGAATTTTTTTTTCTTTGTTCGTTTCTTTTTCTATACAGTCAATATCCCTAATAACAACACTTTTTTTGGCACTTAAAATGCACATTTGTTTTCTAAGCTATTTTACACGAAAATATAGATATTTTTATATATATGAGTAGAGAAATGTCTGCTGAATATAATGATGTAAAAATTATTTCAATATCTTGAAAATTAGTTGAATAATTAGCGGTACAATCAAAGAAATTGAATTTGTTGTTATTAGGGGGCTAGTTCCTAATAACAACACTACATGTAAAATACATGGAAGGAAAGAAAACATTTTAAATCAACTATTTTATTATAAAAAATTTAAAATTTTGAAACACTTCAATGACAAAAATGTCCCTTATTAATTAAGGAGTTTTAATCTAGCCGTTGAGGGTTTTTCTAGTTACTTTGACTGAGATATTTACCTGAGAAAAAATGACCTCTCTGTTGGAATTAGGAGCACTGTACTTAATAACAACAGTCAGCTAAAAAATGTTCCCAATAGGAACAATCCATGCAAAATACATAGAAAATGTTTTTACGAAATGTGATTTTTTAATATTTCAACATCAAAATTTCTTTTTTCTTACATTACCAAAAATATTCCTTGGCCCATTCAACATTAATATCCAGCGGTTCAGCTCAATCGATAGTTTAGCACCCTATATAGGTAATCCAGTTGAATTTAGCATATTTGTGTACCTTGGATCTCAGCTTCCATGCATCGGATCAACGTCAAACTTATCGTGCATGCTATTGCAGTCTAAACGAGAATTTTTGCGAGAAATGTTTTGTGATCAAATTTTGCAAAAAAAAGTGGCATTTGCCTCCTAGCACCCCGTAGCATTTAGCTGGTGTAAGTGATATGTCAGCTTTTTAAGTGTAATAATGGTGTAGGTTGAATTTCATCGATAATTTTCAAGTTTCACCGAAAAATATGTATCCATTACCAAGATGACAGGTGCAGAATTTGTGGTGGGTGTGGGTGATATCCTAGCTGATACCCACACGCACACCCTCAATCGAACCCACACTGACAGAAACACCCACAGCTACACTCACACCCATACAAAAATACCCACAAACCTACCACCTAACGGGTAGCCAAACCCACATCCGCACCCATCCCAACTCTGACACTTAAACCCAAACCACACTAAATCCAACACCTACATCCACACACAAGCAAAATCACGTCTACACTCACACCCACACCCACACCCCAGAGAAAGGATGATAAGGAAGAGAAACGTAAAAACGTAAACAACAGAACGAAAGTCGAAATCGAGACAGTGATGGCGAAATTGGCGCGCAGTAGTGTTCTTCCTTTGTTTATTCTTCCGATACCGTATATCTTGACACCGAAGACACCGTGCCGGGGGAAGGGATCGAGCCTTCACATGTCTGATTAATAATAATCATATGCATAGAACCACTACGCCATCCCCGACTAGAATTCACCTATCATCCACTTGGTTCATGTGAATACAAGACCGAAAAAACCAAGCAAGATTGTGGTAGGCCAGATTGTAGAGATTCTGGAACTTATGACGGCCGTCACGATCAACGTGATGATTCACGTTCCGGGTGTAGCATTCAGTGATTCTTGCACCGATGTTAATCATTCCAAGAAAAAACATAACGAGCACCAAAAAACATCGCCTTCACAACCTAGAATACAAACGTATATCCTTCTCTCCGATTCTCTGCTGTTTGTTTCTCCCTTTTTTCCAAATAGACCGCATAAATTTTCATTTGAAATAAATAGCCGATGAACGTGTCGCGAAAGAAGGACTCTAATCTAACCAAAATCCACACCCTCACCCACGCCCACCCCCAAAACGCCCAGACACAAATTAGAACATATGCCTACGCGCACATCTACACCGACACCCGCACCCAAATCACATATTTGATATTGGCCAATTCAGAGGCAACGCAGGATCGCTCGTCCTTCAAGTATCGAACGTGAACAATGCAGAACTTGCTTTGATCCAAAACAAAGCAGCTCTTTTCTTCGATTGGAGATAGGAAGATTCACATTGGTTCAACCTGAATCCGAAATTTGATTAAAACTTCCGATACTTTACAGGGGGCGTCCCTCCCCCGTATGTAAAAGCTTTCCTGAAGAGGGGTACGGGGAAACAATTTTTGCGCTACCGAAAACGATGTTGATCATGATGCGCCGCGTCCTGCCCTTAAAAATTCGGTCTCCCTCCTTAGAAAATTTCTGACTATAGGACTGGCAGACAAGGAAGAGTTAAGGATGCGGAGTTTCGTTCGCTTCGTATAAACGAATGTTTGGCTTCTACTTGCTATCATACTTCACTTTCTGCAAAGAAAGTGGAGTATAGTAGCATAAAAAGGTATTTATTAAAGAGCAATTATGATAAACCTTGCAGATAAGCGTAGTTAGCCATAAAAAAACATGCAATCAAAATCGCAATAAACGAGACATAGAAACGAAACCATAAATACTAAATGAGTACATAAACGAAGAGAGTATTACTCTAAGTCTCCAGATAGCTGAATTAATCCAAAAAGGGTAAGTGAGCGCAAAAGTCTTTTCATCTCAGGAGACAGCTCCTTTCTTGGCTACTTTTCGGCATTCCGTTCAAAGAATACTAAGAAATGTTGACAGAGGCATGATAGAAACCCATTCATTTCCGATTTTTCTACTCTGACAAAGTGCTGAGAATTTGAAATCTATGTAATTAGATTTCAAATGTTTCATTTCGAAGTTACTAGCAACTATTTTGAACTAAGCTCCCAAAGTTGAAGAATTTCAGCTTATCGTCCTATGTCTGTGGTTTTTCGGGAAAAGGGTCGATTGAATCAGGTGTAAAAGCTATGTGAAAGTTTTCTTTTCTTTTCTTTAGGTCTCCTGCTAAGCTTTGTAATTCTAGTCAATTATTTCTTGTCTTATTTGTTTGATTCAAAACAAGGAATCCACACACAATCAGGCTCACAAATAGGTTGCAACACGCAGTGATAGCTTGATGGCCCCCTCCACACTGTTTTAATTGCCGTTGAGCACGTCAATTTGAGATGCAGTTTTCGTGTGCAGTAACCTTAAGTGCGAATAATACTAAAGTAGAGCGCACCAAATAAACTTGTTTGGGTGGTACCATTTTGGATAGAGCTCCGAACGCTGAACTAGAATGACAGGCTTTAAAAGTTATTAAGTCAAGCTTTCAGCACAAAACCTTCAAAATACAAAACACTAGAGAAAAGTCGAAGTTACTAGATCGTCCGGGAAACGAAGAATTCTGTCTGTTTACAATCGGTTAAATATTTTTTACCTGGCTAAATCAATTTCAGCATTGAAAAGTGAGCCAGGCAAATATCGTTCGACCGATTTTGGAGCAAGCTAGCAAATGTTGTTTATTTCACTAGATCCGTTAGTTTATCGCAAATCAAAAAATAAGATACTATCCCTCTCTTTGAATAAATTCGGACCGGAAAGACATAGTGACCTGAAATTTTTAGCGTAGGAAGAAAAATGCGGGAGAAGTAAAGGGTGTGGTCAGGGCGAATGATTATATACACACATTAAGCCCGCACCCTCACCCACACCCTTTTCCTGTTTATTGAAGTGTCAAAAATGGTGCTTTCGTGTATTAACATCCGGTAATATTTTACAGTGAAGGATATTTACAGTCTTAGTTACTTATTAATTTTGTTGCACAACAAGCGTGATAAATACATGCGAGTACAATTTGTTTTACAACATTTTAGATTTAGTGAAAGACTCGAAATGTCTCGACGGCGATTGGCTTTAATTTTTGGCAACGATGACTACGGAGGCGACAAACAATTAAATAGTTGTGTTAAGGATGCAAGGGACATGGTATCCAAATTACAAAGTGTAGGTTTGTATTTGTTACTAATATTATAGATGTGAGAAAATTATTTTGAAAATCTTTCTATGATATTCTAGGATTCACTTGTACACAGTTCCATAATTCAAAAAAGCCGGAAATGGATTGTGCTTTTAGAGATTTTTGTTCCAAAATTAAGAATGGCGATTGCATATTGATCTATTTCTCTGGACATGGCATGGAACAACATGTAAGAAGTGTGAATAATGTATTGGGAGAATAGGATGTGCAGCAATTCTGACTGAGTTTCGTGAAAGTTTTTTGACGCTAGAAATTACCAAAAGTTTTAGTCTCCAGAAAATGAAGACCACAAAATTTTATTGTAGCGACTTACGGAATAGTAGTAAATATCAAAGCATGTTATTATTTTCAGAAGTTTTCAATTGTTTAAAATTTCTTTTGTCCGTGAAAGTCTAGATTTGACCGTAGTATTTAACAGCTGTCAAAAATCAGGGACAACATCATCGTGCTGTACAGATGTTGATTATAACGTATGATGTATTCGATTTCATAACACTCATCGAATATTGTGACATTTTGCTCTAGTTGATTTTTCTTAACTAATCGTAGAAGAGATTGATGTTTGGCATCCTGAATTTGAATATAATCTTCATCTATACAGAATGCGTCGACAGCTAGAAAATTATAGGAATGAATAAAGCGGAGCACTTGTTGAAAATCAATATATCTGCAACAACGAGCATTTTGAAAGAGAGCTATGGATATTATGCTATTACTGGCGACTGGAAAGTTTACAAATATGACAGAAAAGTTCCTCTTAATTGTTTCTTTTTAGGGTAAGAATTATTTAGTGCCTATTGGGCAAGTGTGTGATCCCGAATTCGACTGTATATGTCTGGATACCATGTTAAGAAAGTTAAATCGAAGCGGTGATAGTATTTTAAATGTTATCATTTTGGATGCGTGTCGCGCTGATAAAGACAATAATACTTGGAAAACGACGGGTGCCAATGCAGAAGAATGTTCCGAACCAGCATATGGGAAAGCGTTAACATCTAATGTTTGTCTGCCTACTGGATCACAATTCGCTTTAATATTTTCGTCTGATCCTGGCACAGTCTCGTTTGGTTCTGACGCAGGTGAAAACAGCTTCTTTACATCAGCGTTGCTGAATCATTTGGTAACGCCTAATTTAATACTTGAAGAAGTTATGCACAGGGTACAAAAGGAATTATTAGAAAGGTCATCGAAACGACAAAGACCTTGGCTCAATTCATGTTTGGGGGAAGCATTTTATTTTAATAGAGGTTTGTCCCTGAATCATCTTCTTTCACGAGATCCTCACAGCCGCCTTACAGAAATGAAAACTCGTAGGATGTGAAGTGTCTACTATCAGGCATTGCACGTAAGCTACGACCACCATTGCACAACCGATCTCACCAATTTGGCTGATATTTTCTCAGCAGATATCTACATTCAAGTTAGGAATAAGCCTAAAATTTCAGCTCAAACGGATGAGCCGTTCTCGAGATATACGACTTGATAGTATGGGTACTGGATCAAAATCAGATTTTTTTTTATTGCAGTACTTATCAGTAAATTTTCATTTTCTCCCAAATTATAATAGTTATTGCTGAGATTTTTTTACCCAAAGATATTGTCGATTACGGCCTATCTTTTGATAGCCATAAAAGTACCACATCCAGGAATAATTTTTGATTGAAACCATATTTGATTTTCAGAAAGCGTGCCCGCGCATTTTGGACAACTTAGACAGATCAGTGAGTTCGAATCCTTTGAAAGTGGTCTCATTTGCAAGAGCGCATCAAAATGTATCGAATGATGTTCTCAAAAGTTTGGCAGATTAAATTTCGGATTAGAAAAAGTCTTAACATTTTCATCAAAATTTTCCGCCTGTAAAAAATTGAACTATCCGATATTTTTATTATTTTATCACTGAAAACTAGCGTTTTCCGGAAACTAACTTCATAGTTTGATAGTACTTAAAATTCTCTACAAATTCATATACGAACATCTTGCACTATATCCTTCTGTTAAAAAGAATTCTTGCACATTGAAAATATTTTTCTCCTCAAATTGCTCTATAAAGAATTGTTGTCTTCTTTTTTTCCAATTTCTCGTCCATATTTGAATAGAACACAAATCACTTCAAAATCAAATGCATAGCGTAATAGAGCGTGACATTCTCTTTCATTGTAGACACTAGAAGCTGAATAGTGATATATTAGAAGGCTAAAATTTGAAATTTGTAAAACTACCAGAAAGGGCAATACATAATTAAACTTGAGGGTGTGGGTGTGGGTGTGGATACGAATGAGATGAAGATCCACACCCACACCCCACACCCTCAAGAACTAAAAGCGAAATCGTATATATAATACAATATTTTTTTTTCGATAACAGACTCTACAAGACTAACAACGGCGAATAGTGACGACGGTGCATGTAGCAAACCGGGTATGATGCGATTTGATCATAGGTTTTCTTCGAAATAAAATAGATCTTGTTCTCTTCGCAACCGATGCGAAAGAAATGTTGTGCCGATATATTCCATATCAATAAAGATTATTGCAACCACGATACTACCTACTTTCGACGAAACCGTTGCTTATTCTTTCAATACCGCTTGTAAAGTACAATCTAAATTAATAATGAAGTCATTTTTTACCTTGGAGTTATTCACTCAGTAGCTCTATGTTCCTTGTTACTCAAATACTCTTTCGTACAATTATTAGAAATTTTGAAATAATTGCTATAGAATGCTCGATCCTTTCATATAAATAAAATAGGCGTTTTGTTTTAGTTCAATCGCGACCACCATCTGGGGCACGTCCTTCTCCCGCCCCCCGTAAGTATACTTCATTCAATATGTACACTTGCCTACTTCGAAATAAGAGTCACTCTGAAAAGTACATCGCATCTAATATATATTATAATGCCTTTTGTTTTAGCTTCGACACCGCGCCCTGGCACAGCAGCCTCATCCACTACATGTAAGCATACTTTGCACTGAGATATACTTTAAGGGATTTTTCTGTAAAAGACGTAATGAGAGCTTCGAAGCGTTTGTATGCAGCATTGACTCGTTATTCTACAAGTCCTTTATCTGTGATTTGACTGATATACGTTTGTTTTCTTCCATATCCCATCGCGACTCTCGTCGTACTCTTTAGAACGTTCAATGTTTTCTGAGTTTTTCTGGTGAAGAGAAACATTTGAAATGTCACCGTTTTGTAGTTGTTAACTTTCCTGTCAAAATATTGTTTTCTCGCTTCCGATGGCATCCATGATGGGGAAATTACAAGGATTGTCAGCAAACAATGCAGAAGAGCAGATGAGATTAAGATCAAAGAAAAGTTTCTTCTATAAAATAGTTCAATTCTAGTTAGCGAACAATATTGATGAAAAATATTGAAAAACACAATAAACAAAAACGAACTGTGATCCATCTTGAGGGTGTGGGTGTGCGGGTGGAGTGTGAGTATCAGCTAAGATATCGCACACACCCACATCCTCAAGAAGTATCTTATCGAGATACGAAACGTCATAATTGACAAATTTTTAATTTAAATTAATAAACTATGAGATCAAATCAAAGTAAATTGATTTAAATTTTAAATAAATTCAAGTAAAATAAAAGAAGAGAATTAAATCATGTCTAATATATCAACCTTCTTAACAAAATAAGTATTTGTAAGATCGATGAGGGACACTACAGTCAAGTGAAATCACGTAAACTATACTAGATGTCTTAACAAGACAGTACCAGGGATAAGTTTTTCAAGATGTCGCAAAACTTTTTCAACACCCGATATACTTAAGACAGGACAATGGCTAAGTCTTGGAAGAAATAGAATAATTTTTTTCGTTTTTAAAAATTATCGATCGATTTTCCACTTTATAGAAAATGATTTCTTTTGAAATTAAAATCAGCCAAGCTTTAAAAATACTTCAGTTTCTTTTGAGATCGATTTCCAATTTATAGAATTAAAAAAAAAATACAGTGTATATTACGTGTGTCTGTGGATACAAAATTGACAAGTTCATTTAACAAATAATTTTAATATTTTCACAAAAGAAACAAAATAGCGTTCACATCACTTGAAACTCCGATTGAATGATGATGGACGTAAACTAACTTTCTTGAGGAGTTAAAAATAGATATCCAATCGTTGCTGAGGACCTAAAAAATCGCACGTTTTTTTATTTCTGCTTGTGTTAACACAAGACAATAATGTAATTATATGTTCCTACAAAATATAGAATTAAAATACGCTTGCGAGAGAGAACTATATGCTATATGTGTGATTGACCATACAATTACTACAGTGTAATTCTTTTAATATAACTTTTTCATTCATTTTTGTCGAGTTTTGTCCTTACATATAGACTTATCACCGCCATAAAAGAGAATTTTCTTTCTATAGAATATTGCTCGATACTTTCGAAATTATTTCATATACTAGCTATACTTGAGAAAGAAAGAGAGAGATCTCCTTTTATTCTTACTTTTTCTCTTCTAGTTAATATTCCTCCTAATGCCACGTGGAAGCAGAACGGAGTGACTATTGCTGGACGTAATGGGGATGGGGATGCCACTAATCAACTCTACCGCCCTTTTGGTCTCTTTGTTGATGATGATCAAACAGTGGTTATTGGTGACTTAGGGAATAATCGTATCGTCCAATGGAAGAACGGTGATACAACGAATGGACAAGTTGTTGCTGGTGGCCAAGGACAAGGAAATGGATTACATCAATTGAATCAGCCAACAGATGTATTAATTGACAAAGAGACGGATAGTCTCATTATTTGTGATCGAGTGAATAAACGAGTTGTACGATGGTCTCGTCGTAGTAGTACAACAAAAGGTGAAGTACTCATCGACAACATTCAATGTTATGGAGTCGCTATGTATGAACAGAGATATCTCTACGTTTCTGACGAAGGAAAACATGAAGTAAGACGATATCAATTGGGTAAGAAGAATGCCACTCTCGTAGCTGGTGGAAATGGCACTGTCATAGCTGGTGGAAATGGTAAAGGTGATGGTCTCAATCAACTCAACAATCCTTATTATCTCTTTGTCGATCGACAACAGACTGTCTACGTGTCAGACAACAACAATCATCGTGTAATGAAATGGGATAAAGGTGCAAAAGAAGGTATTGTGGTCGCTGGAGGACAAGGCGCAGGGAGTGCTCTGACACAATTGAAGTATCCTGAAGGAATCTTCGTCGATACATTGGGTACACTCTATGTAGCAGACTCGTTGAATCATCGTGTAATGCGTTGGACTCAAGAAGGCAAGAAAAAAGGCACTGTAATTGTGGGTAGAAATGGTTCAGGAGCAAGAGAAAATAAGTTCAACGTCCCCGTTGGTTTGTCTTTCGATCGACAAGGTAATCTCTATGTCGTCGATCATGGTAATAATCGTGTTCAACGATTTTCTATCGAATGAGACGTGTGAATTGTTCTTTTTTGTTCGTTTCTTTTTTTATACTTTGAAATGAATGAACAAAATATTATTACATCGAATTTTTTTATACCGAGATTTACTCCTTTCCTGTTTTTGTTCTAGATCTTCTACTTTTTCTATTTTTTGAACGGTTGACCAAAGGTTAAGAATTATACAGTATAAGGAACTAGAAGTAAGATTTAAAATAAACAATATACTTTTCTTTTTCATTTCAGTGGTGCAACTTACAATTATCTAATCATGTTTTGTATCTAACTTAAATAAACTCTATATTCATTTAGTTCTCTTTTCTCTTGTTTTAGAATGTGTCTTTACCTCGATCAACAGCAATAATGTTATATTCATTTGATTTACTTGTACCTGCTTTTCTCTCTCGTTCTAGATCTTCTATTATGATTCTTGGAATGGTCGACACTTATAATTATATATCAAGTGTAATATGTTGGCATCCTGCTCCTGTATAACATAATCATTCGATCTTCTTTTTCGTTTCAGATGTACAATTTTCTATTATTATTATTATTTTATTAATTTAAAATAAATAAGCTACATATTCTTTCTGTGTTTTGCTTTTGTTTTCTTTTCTTTATAATTTGTGTTCATATTAATCAAGTACAATAATAATAACTATTTATTCTTCTTTTATCCAATATGGACAATAAAAATGTTAATTACTTTTCTTTTTCATTTTAGATATTAAATACATTTCAGAAAAATACTTATTTAATAATTTACTTTTCTTTCTTTGTTTCAGATAAATTTATATTCATCGTCTTTAACAACAACGAACATCGCCATGATATACGTATCACCAGACGAGAGGTTCGTATTATTTTACTTAGTCCTTTTCTGTTATGTATAGGATAGCCTGTCAGAGCGGCTTCGTTGCCGGACCCAGATAGATTCTTCGTGTCACTCTGTTGCGGCGAAGTAGTGTAGTACTCGGGAAGGCCTGCATTATGTGCGTATGGTCCTGGACGTCGTACGGACGGGATACCTACGTGCATTGCCCTACCAGTCCGGCGTGGTCCGCGCTATGCGTATCCGTATGTGGATACACGGCAGGTCTTTCTGCTCGCGCGAATAGTAAATAATCAATAGTTATCAAAGTCATTTATTTTTTTAAATACTAGAAGAAGAAAAACAACCAATGAAATATTTTACTGTTTCTTTCGAATTTTTTCAAATGTTTCTCTATATTCTACGAGATGTGGATGAGTTGAAGATAACTTCTCTTGCCCAATTTCAACTGCTTGTTGAACATATTTCATTGCCATACTATATTTTTGAGTTGAGAAATGTAATTTCGACATATTGTGATATATTACAGCTAAATCAGGATGATTTTTTGTCAGTTTCTCTTCACGTATTTTTAATCCTTTTTGATAATATGTTAATGCTGTTGTATAATCTTTCATTTCACGATAAGTTTCACCTACATTCATGTATGTTGTTGCACATTCCAGAGGATTACATTTCACATTCTCTTGAATATTTAATGCCTTCTGATGAAATGCCAGTGCTTTTTCATAATCACCCATTAGTCGATGAACATCACCTATATTACTGTAATCTATTCCGAAATCAGGATGTTTTTCTGGTAGAGTTTTTCTATCTATTGCGAGACATTTTTCATAGTAATCTAGTGCCTTTGAGTACTCTTTCAAATCCCGGTATACTCTTCCGTACCAACTGAATGTTGAAGCAAAAACTTGATTACCTTCTTGAAATGCTTTTTCTTGAATTTTATAAGCATTTTTAAGAGCTTTAAGTGCTGTCGTATAATCTCCCATTTTTTCGTAGCAGGCTGCAAAACACAAATAACTACCAGCCAAACCAGGATGAGTCGGAGGCAGAGATATTTCTTTGATTTTGAGTGATTTTTCGTAGTATTCCAGTGCTTTCGAGTATTCACCCATGTTGTCATACACTAGGCCGATGTTGTTGTAGGAAGTAGCCAAATCGGGATGAGTCG